AGAATATAGTACGTATGCAAACCTAAACCTTTTTTCTTACTAAAACAACTTCAGTGGACAAACAGCAATGTTAGAAACACAGAATTTTAAGGCAACTGAAAAAAAAAAGAAAAATATTCTGATCTTGCTTTGATGAGTTTTAGCTATAGTTCTAGTCATCTATTTCCAGGCTTAAGAAGTTGTCTTCAAGGTACTCCAGGAGTCTCCTGGATTGCGCACAACTTGCCATTTTACTTTTCCAGCAGATGTCGGGGTGGCTGAAACCCCCAGCAGGCTAAGAGCCTGTGAGAGAGATGACTCCTGGAGCTGGCATAAGAATGCTTAATTCCCCTTGATCAGGTGACCTGTAGTAGTTGATGAGTTTTAGCTATAGTTCTAGTCATCTATTTCCAGGCTTAAGAAGTTGTCTTCAAGGTACTCCAGGAGTCTCCTGGATTGCGCACAACTTGCCATTTTACTTTTCCAGCAGATGTCGGGGTGGCTGAAACCCCCAGCAGGCTAAGAGCCTGTGAGAGAGATGACTCCTGGAGCTGGCATAAGAATGCTTAATTCCCCTTGATCAGGTGACCTGTAGTAGACACCAACCACAAGGTTCCCATTGTTGCTTCAGTTCCTAATTCTTACCCATATCTTCTGAACAGCCTTTAGCCAATAGCCACACTCCAGTCATAGGAATCACCCACCAAGCTTCCATAAATGTCATAGCCTTCCAGCAACACAGCAGCTTCAAACTCCTTCTGTTTGTTTCCCATGCAGTGTACGTTCATGTAAAGGCACTTCAGATGGGCTGTTGGCCCTGTCATCTTTTTAGAGGAGCATCCCTTGAGGTGTTTTGTGGGTGTTTTCCCTGTTGGCTCTTGAGGCATGGTAGAGCTTCTGGTTTTCAAAAATACCAGCACTCTGTCCTGCAGGTTCTAAGCTACTACACCCAGGCACCTCTCTAGCAAGACCAGTTACATGCTCATCCTCCCTTGGATCTGTGAGCTCTGCTAACTCTTGCCCATTTGTCACCCCATGGCGCATCTATAATGAGCCTGGTTTTATCCACTTCCCCCTTCAAACCTAGTTTAAAGCCCTCTGAATGAGCCCTGACAACTCCTGGTTGAGAATCCGTTGCCCTCTTGGTGACAGTTCCCCTCCATCTTTGCCCAGTAGGCCTGGTGCCATGTAAACATCCCCATTGTCAAAGAACCCAAAATTCCACCAATGGCACCAGCCTCTGAGCCATGTGTTAATCTATTGTGCTTTCCTGTTCCTTTGCTGTTCCTTTCAGTGTTCTCATGAATCCCATTAAACCCAAAGTTTAATGCATTTTTCATGGAGGTGTTGAGATACTTCTAACCACTAAAATCTAAATAAAACTGCAAGCTCACCAATAATAAAAATCCTATTTAAAACAATGAACACATGCTAATTGTCCATTATTACATACATCTCTATTCCCAGTGAAATCTTACTGGTTCACATCACAAGAAAATTTTCACAAAGGAAACTATTAAAATAAAAACAAAGAAAAAAAATTAAAAGCATGCAACTAATGTCAAGTGATTATCTGGTCATCTGACGCTATTGTATATGTTCTCTTGTACCTGCTTGAACTGTATGTATTCCACAGCCTATGCAGAATATAACTGCATAATAATCTGTATCACTTCCAATGCTATTCCTTATTAATTGAGAATAGGTGAGAATATAAATGGCAAGTATCTATTACAAGTAGTGTAGGGAAGTCTTATCTTGTCAGACTATGCAGGAAACTGTCAATGCTATTAGAAATTCTACTTGAAAACTGATACTGCAGAATGTGTCAATAGTTTCTGATGATGTCAGATGAGAAACTGTAGCAACAGCCAAGAGCAGAGTATTGCTCCCTTGAGACGCCAACTTTGGCAAGTTGTACTGAAACACTCTAAGAACATTTCTGATTTTGAGATTACTGAAATGTTATACCTAGCTTGGGACTTTACTGCACACAATTTATCAAGCCAAAGCTAAGGTTCCAGAAAAAAAGGACCATTTGTTTTCCTTTAGGCTTCTTTTTTTTAAGGCTCACCTTTCATCAGCTTCAAGTTTTTTCATACTGGAATGCAAAGAATTAATAACGTAAGAATGAGATAAGTGACTCCATACTTTTCCTTGAAATACTGACTCTTCTGATTTTAATTATAATTTACTAGAAAATAACTGCAGATTTGTAATACAGACTCATCAAATCTGATACTTTTATGCTTTTAACCTACAAACGGGACAGCAGGGATTCTGGATCAATCTGCATTTCCAGCTTTGCCCTTCACTTACTATACCATTTGAACCAGTATAATCTCTCAGAGACCTAGTTTTACATCCCAGCTAGGATAGTACTTACAAGAACAAAGGTGCAATGCTTAACTCTCACAAGGCTTTCAGCAACACAGAAATTAATGGGTTGCATTACAAATCTTATCTTACATACAATTTTAAATTAAATGCTTGCAAAAATAATCCTGTGGAAGATTAAAAATACGGAGCAATAGATTATATTCAAGTATTTGTCAAAATCAAAGCAAAATTACAATTAAGTGAAGATTTATTAGAAGTCACATTTAGCCAATATCCATACTTCTATAATCCTATACTTTTGACTATGTGCAACTAATTAATAGAAATACATGAAAAAGATTAAACTGAACGGCATGAAAGCAGCTGTTTTAATTTCCAAAATTATACCTTAAATAATCAACATCTAATGTATCAACTATAGTTGCAGTGCACTGAAACTCTCCAGCTGATGTACATGTTATCTTCTCGCCTTTACAAGCTCATAAAATAAACAAAGCTTTTATGTGAAACCACTGGACAAAATTTAACAAAAACCAAAAAATGACAAACACCTCTACACAGCAGGGCCATTTTGAGATACATAGGACAAATTCTACTCTTACTCATGAGATTCGGGATTGTCCACTTTGGATACCATTTTCTGCTGTATCACTGCATCACCAAAATTCATACAGATTCATGATGAAATCTTTACTGTCAATCTTAATTTAATCCAAGAGTCTCACTCTCCAACTCTCCACTAACTATGTGGCTATACAGAATACTTATTTTTACAAGAATCTGCCACCTAAAACATAGGCTGACTAAACACGGAGACATGTATTTTAAGGCCTTTTCAGATATACTACACAAGAATAGAAGCTGAACATTTCTGGTTTTAGACTACCAAATTATGGACATAATCTGGGTGAAGGACATAGTTTAGCTGGATTCCTCTCCTGTGACTAACAACACAACATTAGCAGTCTACTAAAAAAGATGGTGCAATTCACAACATTGCAATAAAAGTACGCAAAGGTACCACATACTATGGAGGGTACTAGGGTTCCAACACAGAAATAGCAGGTTTTGACACTACAGACCCAGGCACCCAATTTCCTGCCAGAAATTGTCATCCTGAAATGCAAACAACAGGAACTAAATGTCTGCCTGTGCTGCCTGCACCATCACAGCCCACAAAGTGGACCATGACACCAGAATTTCATTAGTGGCTTAAAATACTATGTCAGACTATGAACAAAAATACCATTGTGGCCAGTCAACATTGACCTGCCAGTGCTCCAGCTGCCTGAGCCAACTCATCAAATCTGTTAGACATGCTCAGTTTATACACAGAACTAAGAACTGATTTGGGGGGGAAAAAAAATAAATAAATATCCAGCTCTAAACAATTTGTGACACCCTTTCAGAAGCCAAATATTGCCAAGCATAACATAGCATCCAAGCTCCTGGTGCTGACCTTCCAATTTTATTAGAGGCATTAACAAGCATGCATACAAATGTTCCGTTACAAAAAAAATACGGTACTTCTGAAGAGATAAACCTACAACTCTTCCAAACTATTCTCCTGATTCCATCTCCACTATTCCTTTTAAAAGTTGCATTTGCAGCTAAATCCAAGATTTGAAAACATCTCTGCCTCATTGTGAAGATAAAACATTCATCTAAATACGTATTTTCTCATTTCCTGTAGCGTTAAGAAAGATGTCCTTTGTCAAGTACAACTGTCCTTAATGTTTTTACTGTTAGGGGAAAAAAAGTATGTTACCTAGTTGCAGCTCTTACTTAAAGGGACAAAAGGCCAAGCAAGTGAATGCAGTAAAATTGCAACAGTTTGAGAGTTCTTCTGTATGGAAACCTGCCAATACTATCTATTCAGATAAATGGTCTGAAAAAAAGGAATCATAAATAAAGTTTCTCTTTCAACATCATAAACTTGACATACTATCCTGCCCAAGCTAGTTTTTGTATAAAATAGCAAATAAATCTAAGAGATGGAAATAAAAGCTTCTTTCTGCATTTTATTTAAGTCTGTCTATTTATTCAGAAACCGTTTGTGCAACAATTTTTGGCCTAACTGAAATTACCTGAATATGTGAAATTTAGATACATTTCCAGTCTACTTCACTATAAATACTGATTATTTCATATCCTGTACAGCATATTTTGTGTAGCCAAGTTCAATTTAAAACTACAGTTTTAAAAAATTAACCATCAACTTTGCAATTGCCTACAGGGCTTTTTTTTCTTTTCTTTTCTTTTTTTTTTTCCAAATCTTTTCAATAGTATAAATCAGATAATGAAGGAAGAAGCCCAAAGTTGCATTTGCCATGTGGGGTGAAATAGCACCAAAAAAAGTGTTTAAAGAGACTTTGAAAAGATTATGAGAAAATGCTTTTCATAACGTTGAAAAATGTTTTCACTATGTAAGGAAGAAATATTTTTACCTATAAGCAACAGCAGCACATGTATTATTTTTAAAAATAATGCTTAAGCATATAGTCCAGGTGTCCTCCAGGATATTTACAGTTCTACCATTCAATACGCCACATATTTTACACAAGTTTTTCATTAAAAATACTGAAATAGAATTTAATTCTAGGTCATTTAACAGGGTATGAACAGGGATGGGCAAAATTTAAACATAACTTACTTTCAAATTATAGGGTTTAGTGACCTACCAAATCCTGGAATGCTTTTGAGACTGGATTTGAGACAGATTTTTTCAAGTCTAAGGTAGCTGTATCGCAGCAGGCAGCTCCACAGGAACATCCAGTCCATTCGTGTGCGATGGTTCATAATAATGACACTCCTTTCTCCAGGAACAAATCCATCACCAGTGACAACCACCTTGGCACCAAACACCATCTCCAGCAGGGCCTAGAAATAATATCTCAATATTATGGCTTTACTCCAAGAAGAAAAGCACCAGCCCATTAGCAATAAAAATTAATTTTCATTATATAATTTCACTTATTCATACACATTATTACTGGTAAACAAACTTCTGTCTTCAGCCAGCTTTTACACAGGAACAGTCAGCTGTTTAGTGGAAAAGGAAACAACAATTGAATAGCACTTCCTAAAAAGCCCTCTCTTGCACTGTCCAACATCAAATTTTGTTTTTCCCTGTTTTTCCTAGAATACTATCATGTAGGAATAAAAGTAAGTGAATCAGTATCGATTACAATATGGAAGGCAAAACCTAAGGACAGATTGGCTGCACAAATCATCTACTGCTCAATACTGTCAGGATTGAGAAGGAATTAGAAGCTGCCTTTCTTTCTGCTTGGTCCAAACGGTCAACATAGCCAGTAAAGCACACACTGTCCAACAAAACTAGCATAGAAAAAGGAATGACAATTGGACATCTAGAGGAAAAAACTTCACAATTTGCCTTAACATAAAAAATATGTAAGTGCTTCAAATTACCTCCTTACCTTCTCCTCCCTTTTCTTCCTCCAGAAAAATCTAGAATAAGAGCAAAGTCTGGGTATTTAAACAGAGCCCTAGGAAGTTAAACAGCTTTCTGTTCTGTTAATGTTTCTGCCATCTCTGTGCAACAGAACCTCAAAGAATACAGATTTCTTAGTTTAAGTCACCTGTAAAACTGGAAGAACATTCTCACAATTCCAGATGGCTTGAGATCTCAAAACGAAAAGCATTCTGTGAGCCAAATATTAATATTATTAATAACTCAGCACACTACAATCCTGGCACAGATATTTGCTATCAAGAGTAACTATGGACCACTGCAAAAGCAGAACAGACCGTATAGCTCAAAATGGTACACAGCTGTATTTTCAGAAAAGAGAAAAGCAGCCTTTTTTAACTGTTTAATAAGAATCTTATTGTATATTTAACATCTAGTTAAACTTAATAATGGATAGATGTCCAGTTCCATGTAACCTAATGCTAGTATAAGCTTAACTAAAGAAAAACAGTCAAGACCCACATATTGTCTCATGAGGAAAGAGGTAATTTCTTAGACAGGGTCAGATCTTCTGTGTTGGAGTCCAATTGGTCCAACATAAATTTAATGTTTGGAGACACAACCCCAAGTACCTGCTTCTCCTGACTATGAATGGAGTAGTGCAAGGAAAGAAGACTAGCATAGACAAGGTCTGAGCCTAAAAAAGATTGGGTGCAAAATCTTTTTCACATCTCTTTCCTGAACATAAATGCCCAAGATTCTTACAAGATAGAAACCTTTTCACAAAAATATTCACATTATTTTGCTTTAGGTCCAGCGTGGGCTGAAATCAAACTTCTGGACTGCAAAAGTGATCACAAACTATGTACAATAATCCAGAAGTATAAAGCCGAGGCAGCTAATAAAACAGAAGACAAATAAACATATAAAAATATTGGAGAGTTTGAAATTTTAGAAAAAATGGGAGACAAATGGGCAGAAAGGGTCAGTTTTGTGATTATATCAGTTCACAGCTAAATTTCATTATGGCAAAAAATAACAATCTTGCTATTCCCTTTACTGGTAATAGGAGTTATAAATAGCACTAGATGGCATTATTTTGCTTCTGTACAGGAAAATAGTGCAGTGCTGTGCCTGAATTAGGCATGTGAAACATTAAATATGATGGGATTTACTCTTTCTTTAATCCAGTCTAGCCTGATTGCTTTAACAAGTTGTATGCTTAATACGCAGATTTATTGTAATGATTTGAAACATAAGCTTTTGGTTTAACTACCACTTTGCTCTTTTCCCTATTCATCTGTTGATACTATCAGATCTACCATGAAATATAGCAAATACAGAAAGAGTTATGTGTCACCTTTCTGAATAATTCTCCAATTTTTTTTTTATTTTATTTTTTTATTTGGGTAATGAGGTTGAAGTGGATGCCTAGATATTATGGTTACATGTCCTACTTAAACACTGAGGTTTTGATTCGTGTTTGTTACTGTGAGAATAACAGGCTGCCTGGAGAGGTTGTGGAGTCTTCTTCTCTGGAGACATTCAAAACCCATCTGGACATTGTCCTGAGTGATCTACTGCAGGTGATCCTGCTCTACCAAAGGGTTGGACTAGACAGTCTTCAGAGGTCCCTTTAACCCCTACACCTCTGAGACTGTGACTTTTTCCCATGCATTTAGTAATGATGAAATGGACAAAAGTTTTAGAATATGAAACAGCTCACATCTCTTTAAAACACACAGGACAGAAACTGAAAGCAGAAACTATTTGACATGTAATAAAGATAAATCTTGCTTTATGCCACCAGATACGTACTTCTGCACAGCAATATAACATTTTACTTGAGAAAAAGTTAAATCTTTGAAGGCCTAGGGGAACAAAGTCCCTTGTTTTTTAGAGACAGATAAAGAGACAGATTCCATTCATACTGACTTTCCTCATGAGCAATTCAGGAAAGACCTTGATTCCCAGACTCCTATAGCTATAAATTTGGTGAAGTGTCAGAAAGACAGTTTTCTAGAGGAAGTTCTTTCTATTTCACCAGAAATAATTTATTTCCAATTCAACTAAATTCTAAGAGAACAGTGAAGATCAGCAACAAGGTACCACGCATTGAATAATTTTTCCTTATTATATGGTTGAAGTTGAAAGGAAGAGTTTATAAGATGACTCATTTAGGATGTTTGAAATTTTAAAAATTGTCCTGCTTACTAGTGCTTCACCTACTGTTCTCTGAAAAGCATCTAACTGACACTGGATATAGATATCATTAAAAGGTCTTTTCAAAGTACAATTAAGTCAGGGTGAGAACTTACATATAAACTGTGGAAGAGTTCCTGTAGGCAGGAACATCACCTGCAACACTGAGCTAAAATCTAAGTCTCCACAGATAGGATGTTACGGCCTGTTTTGACAAAAGCCGTAAAAGCTTAAGAAAAATAAAATCAAATTAAGTGTCAGTGAGCAAAGTAAATCATGGGATTATGAACTTTTGCCCAGAATTTGGCTCAAACCACAACTTACCACTGGGAGCGTGAGCCAAGTGGCCACTACACGATCAGTGATCCAGCGATACCAGGCCGGCGAGATAAACATCCAAGGTAGAAAAGGACCAAGCATGAATATACTTCCAAAAAAACTTCCCAAGAATAGTGCAAGTACAAAGTATACTCCTTTCCATGACACCATGGCTCTGAAAGAGAAATTTGGCATTACAATAGAAAAATAAATTGAAAATAATTACCTAACTCCATAGGCCCAGTTTAAGGTAATAATCTTCCTTTTCCTTTTTTCCATGGCTAACGTAACATGATGACAGTAAACACAACCAGAATGTTCTACTGCACAAACAGAAGCAAGAGAACAACTTTATAAACACAGTGATTTGTAAGGCACATTGGTATATTAAAAGGATCATAAAAGTATAAGCTACATCATAATTTCCTCCACTTACTATTATGATATGTAGTTGCACTCTAAAATCTTAAGAAAGCTATTTTAAATATACAACAGCACAAAGAGGTATATAACAGAACACCTATTATATTAAAATTTTCCGCCATTTTCACTGTCTTTGGCAAAGTAGTAATGTTAGCATTTTGGGAAGATTGGGAACTTTGCTGTTCTATTTCTCCACTTTGTCTCATTTTGCTAAATCCAGTCTTGCAGAAACTCATCTTCCCCATCTAAAAAGGGTGTCCATGTGACCTCCCTCACAAACCATTCAAACCCTGTGAGAATTATCGGTGACTTCAAACACCCTCTTTTTATCACAACAGGGCAGGGAAGCAGCAGTTGAAACTTCCTGACTCACCCTGGCTTAAATTCTTTAATTTTTGGCTTTTTGAAGCCTACTGTATTTCAACCATCATTATCAGATGTTTTCCAACTTAGTCCACTAAAGAGCCAATGGCCTTTGGGTTTTAAGACAGTAGTCTAGACTTGAAATATTTCAATGTCTGTGCTAACAGACATTGAAATACACCATGTAAAGAACTTCTTAATGCATTCCGGCAGAACATCCAGCAATCGTCCAAGCATTTGTAATAGCTACAAGCTTTCAAAATTTAGCAACTACTAGCAGCTATGACAAAGCAAATGTGGAAATACCAATTCTCTAAATCAGGGCCCAAAAACAGACTGTTTTGATCTATTTAGGACTCAACCAATTGATTATAAAATCAAAGGTTAAGAAAAAGTCACTTCTCAGGCACTTTATCAAATTCCTTTTTTAACAGGCTATTTTAGAAATGATAAGAGCTCAGATAGACAGGACTTCAGGACAAGAAAACAGGAAGCTGGTGGTCTGAATTTTAAAATGAGGAATGGAAAAGTAATCTATTAGGTCTTGTGTACTGTAACATGCATGATTTATCTCAAGCAAAGTTTTGTGCAATGTCCATAGCAGTAATGTTTGCATAGCAAAGTATTCAAAAGTCAAGAGACAGCAACGCTAGTGTTGCCAGCACATGAATTTGCTGCTTCTACCTCATGTAGTAACATGACAAGTAACAAGTACCTCTCTTTTGGGCTACTTTCAGGTTTAAACAATTTCCTAAACTGTACATGTTTGGAGGAAGGCCAAGAGAAGAGACCATGCAAATTTATTAATGTAAACGGATGTAAGAAACTATTTAGCATTACTTCTGCAGCACAGCAAATGTAGTAATACTAAATACAAACATTTGCTGGTAGCTATATCAGAAAGAATTAAACAATGAAATCTGAATGCAAACAAATGCACATTATTTATATCCAGGAGTAGACAGCCCTCTCTTTCCTGCCAAAAGCAGGAACTAAAAAAACAACTGTCCACATATGCACCCACTAAGTAGGATCAATTCTGACTTATCAAGGGATCCTTGAAGAGCACTGTGCTGAAGAAAAATGCTCCAGCTACCTTCTTTACTGCAAATCTGTGGGGGTGGAAGTGAGAAATAAAGGAAGCAGAGGACAAAAGAAAAAAACCCAGGGAAGCACAGAAACAACAGAAAGAGCAAAGGAAAGCATTAACTGCAGCAGGACTAGAAGACCAGGCCTTCTCCTGGCATATCAAGATTTGAGACCTACTGCAGAACGCAGCAGGGAAGATTAAAATTCAGCAGGCTTGATCAAGCTTTTTTTTTTTGAGAACTATATACAGCAAAACAACTGGAAGCACCTAGAGACAGCTGACAGGTAAAACCCCCTAGCAGTCATAGAGCACAAGTTTGTTTAGCTTCAGCCAGTCACTCTGGTTCTGCGTGAGGCTGCTCAGAGCCACCAGCCACTGAGTCAGGCACGATGATGACCACCAGACACCCATGCTCCAGGTGGCTGCCAGACAACACTGAGGCTCAGTTACAGGGCCAAATACTGGACTACTGCACACAGGTAACCACAGAGTTAATCACACAAGACATTTTTCCGTCATCCTCCTAGATTCTTAGGAAAGCAATGCAGGGCACTTATTTACAGGCTGAGCTTTTCACAGTTTACATTGGTCCTTCCCTCAAATTACAGCACAGACCCAAATATTTCAGAAAAAAAAAATCTCTATTTTATGTGAAAGACTGTTTTATAAGCATATTTATTTATTTGGTTTTTAGATTAAGGTATCTGAGCTATGGAAAAGACCTTAGGCAGGTCTATAGTTTCTCTTCTTTAACCTGCATCCCAGCAGCATTTTCTTTAACATTACAGTATATACACATATAGCCTATACTGCATTCCACTGGGTTAAACACTATGGTGTTTATTTTTAGGCACAAAAGATACTATGTGTATTTTTAATCCATATCATTTATCTCTTTTGCAGCCACATTTTTAAAGTGTGATACCTACCATATTTTGCTTACTGCTTATACGTAATAAGTACATTATATATATCTTTACACATGCACACATACATTTATCCAGAATAACGGACAGACTTTGTCTCTGAATTACCTCCACCACAACGGAGCACATACCATGCAAACAGGTATGTGAACAGAAAAACAACTCCCTCTTAATGAATTTGAGCACAACTGTAAAATGAGAAGCCTGTGATAATATGAAGAACTTTCAGCAGAGAGTAACCATCCATCTGGCCTTCTGAAATCAGTGCTCAGCAAGCTCATGTTAGTAACAAGGTGAAACTGTTAACACAATCAACCCATTTGTTTTCATTTATGGGCTCACGAGGTGGAGTTAATCCTGGAGAATAGTTTACTTGACTTAAAACATACCTGCCTATGCATGTCAGGTGAGAAACATTTACATATACTCTCAGGTCAGCCAAGGGTCAAGGATGAGTATTCATCACACATGCTGCTGGCTGCATGGGCTGCCAACAGCTCATGCCCTGGGGTAATAAGCAGAAGAGTGTTTAGAGAAGGGAGGGCAGAGGGGCAGCTGAAGCCCCAGGTTGGGTTTGACACACTCTCCAGACCAGGTGAAGCATGGAAGCTGTATGCCCTCTCCAACTCCTGTGGTGCCACAGGGAGCGAGCTCCAGCACCTCCTCAGCTAGGAGCGCAGTGCACAAATCTGTAAACTGTACAGAGGCAGCTCTGGTCAGACAAAATAATGTCACAATTTTGTGTTCTACTAAAGCTTCAGCAGAGTTTGGGAATTGCCTTACCTCTGAAGCAATAGACATGCTCACACAGTGCTGCAACTCACCTAATAAATTTCTCTTGCCTGACTTTGCTCAGCTTTGTATCCTCACCTTTTTCTCTTCCCTCTATCAGCCCCACATCTCCCATCCCAACACAACAATATCCCTCTCCATTCACACTCCATTTCTCCATTCCCTCTCCTCCTTGCAATACCAACTTTTGCGGGGAGGTGAAGAGCAGCAGGCTTCAGGAGGCCACATGCCCTAGTGAAAAGGATGAGGACTGCACAGCTGGCATGCGGGCTCAGCTACCCAGTCCTGCCAGACAGGATATGGGTAACAACTTGTGTTGGCACTACAAGGGCTGTTGTACCCAGTTTACCATTGAGGAATTCCCAGACACCTGCGACCAAGGAGAACAGGGAATTCATTCCATTACCATACTTTTGCATCTCTGAGCCCCTTAAACACCTAGCTTAGAAACTAAGTATCTTTCTAGGTGTGTGTGTGTGTATATACATACAGGTATATATGCATACACACGTCAGCCACCTCAAGATTAACATGCATTCAATAAGTAACAGCTACAAATCAATGCAAAACACATGCCTGCAGCTTCAGAACACGATTAAAAAAACAACCAAATAATTTCAAAGGGAAAGAAGTCCTGAATGAGGATTTCTAAAAAGATATAAGACAAATGCAAAAAATCTCAAAACAAAATAAGAGCTGATTCATGTCAGAGACAAGATACCAAAAAATTAAAGGATTTGACAGGAAGTCAGAATAACAGAATCCAAGCATTTTCCAAGTACAGAACTATTCCTTTACTGCTGCTGACAACTCTCTCTTCCTAATGCAGCACTCTCAACACTGGATTTAGCACGTATTACAGCCTTTGTGCATCTTAAAGTTCTTTAATTTGCTGTGGAAGTCAGAGCTGCGGGGAGACAAAAATTATTTTAAGATTCAGGCTGAAAGCTGCAAACAGTGAGAAAGACAGCACGCTCCTACTGGGCTTGTTGTTCTTCATCTATTTTGTGGCAGAACTCCAAGTTACTGGGTTACTGTACTTTACATATTCTCGTTGCCAAAGCAGAAGGAAAACATGCTCTGCCTCCAGGTAACAGAAAACAGTAATTCTTAAAATGCAATTTTTGTTTTACATTTCAGTTAATTAAAAAAATTCTTGGCTACAACGGGACAAATTACTTTCCAAAACAGCTGCATTTTTGTAACCTTCAGCTTTATTAGAATTTTTTTCTTACAATTGTTTCAATATTCTATGCGAAGTGTTTGCATAGTAGCAAAAAGCAGAGGCATCTTCCTGTGATTGGCTTTTGGCTTGTTTCGCTTATCATCTATGTCCTTTTAATCAAGGTACAGCTGGAATGACATGTAAACCACAGCTTGATGATGACGATTTCAAAAGGTTTTGAGCAGCCAGTTCTCTACAACAAAACTAGTTTTATTTTGCTACAGCTTCTAGGCTTATAAGTGGGCAAAGGATGCAAAATTTGTTTATTTGGTAAGAAAAAAAATAAAATCTAAAACTATAGGTCTAGAAGTTTCATAGTAGTCAAGACTCACCACACAGTCTACATTCCCTT